AAAAAAAAAAAAAAAATCTCTTGTAATAAAAAGTATTTTAAACTTTCAATATAAATATGTACTTATTTGGAAATATTAAAATACCAATAACTTCGATGAAACCCGTATAATTTGATTTTTCATCTAAGAAACCATCTTGTGCACTAAGTAATTGTTCAAAAGATCCATCTTCGCTTTTTGTTTTCTGGATAGCCATATTTTCTCTTTTTTTTCTTTCTACAGATTCTGTATGATTATTATCTATTAGATTTGTAATGGTTGTATCTATCCTTTGAGTAGTAACAGTAGATGTTGTTGGAGTGGGAGTTGTAGTCGATGTTAATGATGTTGTAGTAATAGCAGGTGTTGTATTAAATACTGATGTGGTTATTGAAACTTCAGGAACAAAATGTACAGGTGGAGCAACTTTTGGACGAAGTCCAATACATTTATTGCACATATTACTACCATTGAATGATTCACCATCTCCAAGGAAAATTTCGGATATCAATCGATCACTATCGAATATTTCGGCAATATAAGCACCACCAGAAGGTGAATTATGAGCATACTGATATGAATATACATTAATTTCCTCGGGTGGTGGTAAATCAGTAACACTTTTTTGTGGTGCTAATTTTACTAGATAAACTCGATAACAACATATAGGACCATTTCGTTCTGTGATACGAGGAAGATACAATTTAAACAATTGTTTACCCTGATTTTCAATTTTTCGCCACGATCGCATATTTAAACTATCTCTGTCTGGTATTGTAATTGGTGTAGTACAATTACCAACAGCATCCTTTCCTAGTGTTCGAGATCTAGTTACACCGTTAACACGGACAGTATAATTAGTATTAGGTGGTATTTGATTAAAATGTGTACTATTTTTTTTATAAACACTCCAAGTCTGTGGTCCCCAAGTATCAATATCTAAACGACCCATGTCATTTCTAAATCTAGCAATGCCAGTTAATTGTATATTATAACGAGTAATAACACCATTAGGTTTCTCTGGATGAGCCCATGAAATAGAAATGAAACTGGAACTACTTATATTATCAAATCGACAATTAACAGACAAATTCTGAGGAGGACTAGCCACTGAAATTAAAATTATATTATTAATTTTAAATTTTTAAAATATAGAAAATATTGAGTTTTCGAGTTTAATAATTTTACCTCCATCTAAAGTAGTACCATTTACTTCAGTGCTCCAATTTCCACATTCTTTTGTATATTCGCTACATGCGGCAATTTTAAATTTATACTTTGTAGCGGGATCAAGATCGACAAATGCGTACACGGCATATGATTGCGCGGGATATACCGCTTCTCTTTTTTGATCTCCATGGGTAATCATTAAATTATAATAATGAACATGTTCTTTTAAATCCAATGGTGGCACTGTCCATGCTATTGTAATAGAATTTTCAGTAACTCCATTAACAGAAACTTTTGGTACAAATATAGGATCTGTAACAAATTGAATTGATCTATTATTTAATAGTTCAGAAATAACTAATATGATTAAAATTATATATTTCAATACCTTTTTCAAGAGTAGTAATCCAACGTGGATCAAATCGTACATGTGATGTACCCACATTATTCATGGCACTAATACCAATTTGATATGCTGTACCACTTTCAAAACCTTTTAAAACATAGCTTGAATTACCGCCGCCAATTTGTTCAGAATAATATTGATATTGATTAGTTCCATTCTTCATATGTTGGATAAAATACTTTTTAATAGGCTCATTACCATCATTTACAGTCCAATTTAAAAATATACTTCCAGCACCAACAGCTTTCATAAAGTCAATGCTTACTTTTGGTACATCAATTACAAAAAGATGTCTATAAGCGCTAATTTCACCGTTGTAATCACGTGCTTTACAAATATACGTTCCGTTATCTTTACGTGTTAAACTCGTAAATTCTAAAGTGAGTATAGTGAGAGTTTCATTTATTTGTGTGATAGTGGTGAAATCCTTCCAGTGATCTGAACTTTCAGAATCATTTCCTTTTAACCAAGAAAATTGAGATAATGGATAACCATGCATGTGACATGTTAAATTAGCAGATTCCATAACTTTTATCCTAATATCTTCTCCAGCTGTTATTCTACCTGGTTCTAAAATAAAAATAATTCATAATTAAAAATGTAAATAATTGCATAAATATAAATTTTGAATATTATAATTAATTGATAATTAATAATTCTAATTGATAATTAATAACTTTACCAATAACTCTAATATGAACATCCTTTTCCAATATTTCCCCTTCTACAGTTTGTGCTATACACTTGTAGTCTCCTGTATCATTTCTACTAGCTTGTTTAATATCTAAACGTCCTCCCGAATCAAAATCTTTAATAGTAGTGAGATTTTTTCCATTGCTAGTCCACCATATTTGGCCAGGAACATTGAGTTTACATATTAATGATGGTGTACTACCAGCCTCTATACCTTCTAAATCTTGAGATGCTGTAATTTCTAATATTGCTGGATTCTCATTTTTTGACTCAGTAGTTTCTATGCTTTCAACAACTATATGAGGACACAAAAAAATATATATTCATATATTTATTTTGATATTTATGTGATATTAATAAATTGATGTTTAATCTATTGAGATTTTATGAAATATATATGAAATTTACCAATATTTGAATAATAACCAACATAACAATAACAAATAAAAATTTATTGACAAATTGATTAATTTTAAAAAAATAAATTATTTAAATTAAAAAATTTTTTTACTTAATATGAATTATATAGTTAGTTCATTAATTCATTAAAATCATGATAATGAAATTATTTAAATTGTTTATATACAAATTAAGTTTGTTATTTAAAAGGTAAAATTTATCAAAATTTATTCAAAGTATATTTTATTGTATATTTTATTGTTTAAAGTTTTTTATTGTATAAAGTTTTATAGACTTATATAAAAAATATATATCAAATAAAACTTTATATTATGACTTTATATTCAAATAAAAATATAAGCTGCTGTATTATTTTAAATTTTTTGATATAAAGAATAAAAAATTTATATTGAATTGAAATTTTTAACAAAATTAAAATTATCAACTAAACAAAACTATGTGCAAAACTATTTTTAATATCAATTTTCTTTTTTTAAGCGATTTAATAGCAATTAATAATCATATGTATTATTAAAATTATTATTTTATAATCTATAATAATATAAATTTTAAAAAATGTCATTCTAAGTTTTCGTCTCTTTCTGCAGAACGTGAAAGTATATGTGTCGCGTAAATTCTTTATTTAATGAGTTCAACAGTTATTATCGCGATGATACTGGTGACTCAATACACAGTGACGTTTTCTTACATTAAACGTCTTTAAATCGTATATTATATGTTAGATTATGTGATATTTATTATGTAAAATAAGATAATCATTGCATTAAAAAAAATAATAAAAATTATTAAATAAAAAATAAAACTTTATAAAAATTACTTTAGTGATTATATAAAATGATGAAATAAAATTTTTTATAATATATTTTAATTTAACTTTGTTTCGGTTTTTATTTTACTTAATTACTAATTACAAAATTACTTATATCAAATAAAGATTATTTTCTGCGAAACAAATATAATTTAATATTCAATAAAATAAACTACTTAAAAATGGATTATGTTTCCGGTAAACATAAACATATTATTCAAATATTTGTCCGGTAAAGAAAAATGTTTTTTATTATTCAAAATTATATTTAAGCTGAAGGAAATGAATTTTCGTAAAATATAGAAATAATTAATTAAATATTTCATCAAAATAATAAATATTTTTTTATTAATAATAAGCAAATTAGTAAGTGAATAAATTAGAAATTTATTATTTTAATAAATAATAAATATATTCATTCTTAAAATTCTAATAATTCATAATTTATGATTATAATTATTATATATACATAATTATTTATCTAATTGAGTTTCACATTAGTTTACTTCTATGGTATGTATGAAATATACATATAATATATAATATATAATAAGAATAATATAATAAGAAATATATAAGATAGTTAAATAAAATAAATAAAAATAATAGAATATATCATTGATTATATTATAAATTAATTTCAATTATGATAGAAATTTTTTAATAAAAATTAAAATATAAATAATTTTTGTGAATAAATTTTTTAATATTGAATTGTTATATTCTAAAATTATGAAATATGGATATAGTAAATTGATTTCAAGCTTTTTTCATTAATTAATATATATTGCTTATAACATTCATAAAAATTGAATTTTTTTTATAAATATAAATCATATAACAAACAAAAGATAAGCGATAAGAAAAGGTACATCGAACGATAAATAATTGAAACAATTAAGATACGTTAGACATTCGATATTTTTTTATGTTATGTTATTAATCAATCGTGCATAATGATATACAATTTTATACATAATTGTAGAATCAACTATCTATTTGGCTTAAGTTAAAATCATTGCCATAATATTTACATGAGATAAAAATTATCGAACGAAGGATAACAATTGTGAGGATGATGATGACAGCAGTGTATCGCGCGTGTATCCGCTACATTGCTTATAACATTCATATTCTTTGTAGATGTTCAACGAGAGAAGCGGAAAGAATCGACGCGCTCAAATTGATCATGAGGTAGTTTGTAAAAGTATTTCTATGACTTACCGGATTCATCAAGGCCGGCGACGAATATTATGAAAAAACAGAGTATCATCAAAGGGATACTCAACATCGGTAGACTACTTCGGGGAAACATGGCGTCGTGACAACCGGGCGTGAGCGTTGTATCCCTGGCCCTTTTCCCACTTCCTGCCTTCTTATACGTTCTCGATTCCTTTCACAATCCCATGACGTGTAGTTAGTATCGCCTATCCATTTGAATCACGATCCAATTCACTATTTCATATCACGCTTCGCACTTACGTGCGACGCACTTTTCGAGATGCTCAGACACACTTTGCAAATCTCACCCCGTAAAAGTGCTAGCGAAACTGAATCATATATGAATGTAATGTAGGTGTCTCAACGAAACCACTATGCTACCAAATGCTAACGATTGACACTGCCCTCCGTCGGGATTCTGCTCCACGTTCGGACAAGCATGTCGATAATGAAGGTAATTGTTTCGAGGGCGGGAAATTGCATCAGAAAATCTATTATACACTTTTCTGGTTTTCTTTTTTTTTCAGCAAAAATTGAGTAGTTCTACTTAAGTAATATGGTATTAAATATTTTCTATGACATTTCCAGTTAAAATATAAAAATATTGATAAAATGTACACATAAATATAAACATATGAATGAATAATAATTATTTTTTCAAATATGTATATTTATATATATATATATATATGTACAATTATAATATATATAAAAATAATAATATTTTTATATATATTCACAATTTTAATTTATATGCATTTAATTTTGAATTAATTTCAATTATCTCAATTTTTTCATTATAGAAAATTTATTACAAAAAATAAATTAATTATATTTTATTATCGGTGAGGTATGAATCATTATTTCTATATCATGTCCTCTAGGGGGCTCTTGCTATGTATAACTGGCATTGATAATATATGTTCTTGCCTTTATAAAATGTTCTTCTATCTGTTTAATTTTCTTACCTTTCTTCTTTGTTCCGTCTAAATTTCGGTATAGCGACAAGTGGTATGGCTGAATTGATTTTAGATCCAAACATTAGGGGTTGGGTATTTTTGCCTATCGTTGTAATTACATTTCTCGTAGGCATTATTCGACATTATGTTTCGATACTACTTGCTTCACAAAAAAAGGTTGAGCTTCATCAAGTACAAGACAGGTAATTATGTGATAAAAAATTTTGTATTTTTAAAAATATTTTAATATTTTTTGTCTAATATTTTAAATGTGAATTTTAAACATTATTTTTTTATTTTTTAGTCAAGTGATGATACGCTCTAGATTACTTAGGGAAAATGGTCAATATATTCCAAAAATGGCATTTATTAGTAGAAGACATTTTTTTAATAATGAAGAAACAGGATATTTTAAAACACAAAAACGTGCTCCAGTATCACAGAATCCAATGACAGATCCTAATATGATGACAGATATGTTAAAAGGAAATGTAACTAATGTTATACCAATGGTGCTTATAGGTGGTTGGATTAATTGGATGTTTTCTGGTTTTGTTACAAGTAAGTTTAATGGATTGAATGAATATATTATATATAATTTAAACTCAAATTTCTTGATTTAATTTAAATGATTCTATTTCAGCTAAAGTACCATTTCCTTTAACATTGCGTTTTAAACCAATGTTGCAACGTGGCATAGAATTAGCTACTCTTGATGCTGCATGGGTTTCATCAGCATCTTGGTATTTTCTAAATGTGTTTGGATTACGTTCCATTTATACACTTGTCCTTGGTGAAAGTAATGCTGCTGATACTTCTAGACTTTTACAGGATCAAGTATCTGGTGCTGCAATGTCTATGCCACCAGATCCAAAAGCTGCTTTCAAATCAGAATGGGAAGCATTGGAAATATATGAACATAATTGGGCATTACAAGGAGTTGAAGCAGATCTTATAGGATCTCAAAGAACAGATATAAGTGAAAGTATATAAATATTTGAAATAATAAATAAAATATCATATTTACACATGTAATTTACATTATATAATTACAATAATTTATATTTTATAGGTAGCAAATAATAAATATTACATCTATATCTATAGATATAGTATGTGCCATTTTGGGAAGATTAAAGTTTTAATATATTATTAAATAAATTAATAGTTTAAATTAGTAAAATAAGGAATGTTTTATTGACATTCTGTAAAATATTATTTTATATCTTATTAAAATATCTAAATTGTATTTTCTTTGTAGTTATACTTTTAATTTCATATGTACAAAAATGTCATAATTGTAACAATATATTTCCATCTTTACATTTTTAAGGTACAAATATTTATAAGTTATTAAATGTATTTATCACATGAATGTTTGTTTTATATGTGTATATTATGAAAATGTTATTACATTTCAATCTCTTTTTACTTTATTTACAATATTAAGCTCACCACGAATATTTGTTTATATATAAAACTAAATAATAAATAAATGTTAAATATAATTATATACAATTTTAAATATAATTATACATTTAAATATATTTATACATAAATTTATACATATTAAAGATTATAAAGGTTCTAATTTGGGATACAAATCTGTTCGACGATGATTTTCACATGGCATATTTTGTCGAATTTGTTTTAATAAGTTTAAATCAATTTCTGCTAAAATTATATCAGTTTTTTCACTACATTGCGCTATTATAGATCCCCATGGATCAATAACCTAGTAAAATTTTTTTCATAAATATTATACTTCATATAACAAAACTAGAATATAATATAAAATTCTTTACCATTGCATGACCCCAGCTCACTCTTTTTTTATTATGTATACTAGTTTGAGCTGCAGCCACAACATAACACTGTGTTTCTATAGCTCTTGCACGTAATAATATTTCCCAATGTGCAGCACCTGTTTGGTATGTAAATGCTGATGGATATGTTAAAATTTCTGCTCCCATATTTCTCAATGAAAGAGATAATTCAGGAAAACGCATATCATAACACTAATATTAGTATTAAGTAGAAATAATTTTTAATATTTTAATATTTTAATATTTGAAAATTGTGAAATTTAAATATAAAAAGGATACAATACTGAGTGCTAATTTACCAATTGGTGTTGATATAGGTGATTCAATCTTTTGTCCTGGTAAAACATAATCTGATTCCATTAATCTAACTCCAGTATTTTTATTATCCATATCAAATAAATGTATTTTACGATATGTACTGACAATTTCTCCTTCACTATTTATTAAAATGTGTGTATTGCTTATATGTTCTCTATTGTTATCCAACTATAAATATAATTAAAATAATATATAAATTAAATAAAAAGTTATATAATATATAAATAATATATAAATTAAAGAAAAAAATAAAAAGAAATTGAAGTCTCTTACTGCTTCATGAATTCCACCTAATGATAGCCAAATTTTATTTATTTTTGCAATTTCTTTATAACTTGTCACTGTTGATCCGTTCAAAGTTTGAGCCATAGCTATTGTATCCTTTTTACTATCTGCTAGATAATCACATGCCTCAGGAAAAAATACAATCTATCAACATATTTAAAAAAAAACTTATATAAATATATGCAACATTAAAAATTAATTAAAATTTCAATTTTTAAACTTACAGAAGCTGCCCTATGTTTTGCTTTTTCAGTAAGTTCACGTACAGTTTGCAAATTTTTTTCTTTATCATTTGTTGATGTCATTTGACATACTGCAACTAATGGATTTTCCATAGTACTGAAATATTTTATAAAATGTTTTCTAAAAAAAAAAAAGATTCAAGATATAGTTAAGAATATTAAGAAATAAAATAATATCTTATTTTTTTATAAATAATATTTATTTCAATATATAATTTTTTTATAAAGAAAAAATAAAATCATATTTTGAATGATTTATCTGACACAATTTATCTTACCAATTATTACCTGTGATATTTAATAATAGAAAAACTGCTTATCAAATACATGCCTATCCTTTACATACACATAGAAACTTTTGATAAATGCAAAAATATTAAAAATGATAGTAACACATTGTATTAATATGTAATATGTATATTCTATAATTATGTTATGTTTAAAAAAATAATAACTTTCATAAACCGTAAAAGATGTATACACGTGAATATAATAATTTTTTAAATTTATAAAATAAAATGTCAAAATTTCAATTGGATTACAGTTGTCTTTCAAGTATAAATTTTACAGAACAAGTAGATAAAGAAAGGAAATACTAAAAGAAAGATAGAGATACGATAAAAATTGGGAAATTAGTACTATTTCTAAAATGCTTTAGATAAAATAAACATAAATAAGGAGAACAAATAAAAGAAGGATAAAAATCGGGTAAAAATCTTGAAATCAGTAAATAAATACTATCTTCAGAGTGCTAAAAATGAAATAAAGAAAGGATAGAAAATTGTAAAATAAGAATAAAGATAGAATAAGAATCAGCGTTGTCTCTGTTTTTAGAGAGATGTTTTTGACACTCAAAAGATAGCGTTATTGGTCAATTCTTTTTCTATCTTTCTTCTATTATTTCCTCTTCTTGTTTATATAATTTTATTTGTAGCATTTAAAAATGGCTCTGATTTTACAATTTTATCCTATTTCTATTCTTCTCTTATTTTGCTCTTCTTATATTTGCTTTTTTATATTTACTTTTGATGATTATAAACGCAATTGGAAATATCAATTGAATGCACTTTCATCATTTCTTTTTCAAAATTACAATATATCTTAATTTTTATATGAAAAATATAAATATTATATTCTCGATAAAATATTTTTTTAGAAGAATTTTTAAAATATATTTTTAGAATGATAATCTCGCAATATATTCTGATATATAATACGTGTTATCAAGAGACATTATTTTGGAATTTAAACAAAAGCTTAGTCTAACAAAGGAAAAAGTAAGTAATTTTTAAATATTTTATCGAAAGACGTGATTAAAGATTCGTTTATCGAATTTATTTTTTACTATTTTTTACTATTTATAATGTAAATTCCTAAAAACATAAAAATATATTGATTGTTACATATTCAGAAAATTTATTAAATAAAATAAATATTTATANATCGTTATATATATTAAAATTAATAAAGAATAAATAATAAAATATATAATAAAATATAATATAATAAAATATATAGTATATAATATTTTATATTATTATAATTTATTAAAGTTTATAGAAATTAAAAATTAAAATATTTAAAAATTTTATAATTTGAAATATTTGCTTGAAGTTTACAGATAATAATTTATATCGTCATCGATACTGTCGCTTGCGACGTTCGACCTTGCCCGCCGAGCAATGTTTCTCGAATGGGGAAAGACTTGCCAGTTTCACTTCGACCGCTGTGTTGTTCGGATGGAGAATTTATTCATATTTAATTTTGAATATAATTTAAAGTTGCACATATATTTTATTAATTTGTATGTGTTTTATTCATATTATTTATACTATGTATATTTATTCGCGAGTGTAACAATTTTGCGTTCTATTTATGAGCGTTGGTACATTTCATCTCTATCATGAATGAATAGGAAGCTGTTACTACAAAAAAGGTACAGACTTGCATTTTTTCATGTTATAGGAATTTGAATTATATGACTATTTTATCATTTTTATATTACATGCGACAATTTAATGTAAAATAATGTAATATTGAAAGCTGTATATATCATTTCATTATTTATGAATGTATAAATTGTAATAATAGTAATATTGTTTTTTGATAATTTTTTTTTTTGGTTTACTTTTTACTTTTTACACATTTACTTTTTAAATTTTTAAACATAATAAAATTAGTCATTTTAATCCTATTATTTACGTTATATTTATTTTTATATTTTGTTTATATTATATTCAAGATATAAAAACATTTCTTATTATATAACCTATAAAAAAATAGAAAATCCGCATTCATACCAAATTTGATGAATTTTCAAATTTAATAATTTGAAAATTCAAATCATGCCAAATATATTTCTCTCAATTATCTATTGTGTGATATTTATTACCATAATTATTTTTCATTGTTCATATATTAGTGCGTAATTAATATATGTTTTTTATTTTGATTAAAAATTTTTTAATGATTAAATTATTTTTTCTTTATTCATTTGTTTAATAGTTAGAATCGCAGATAATTTATAATTCATACTTTTTTAAAATAAAATTTTTGATTTAATTATTTTATTTTTTTTATCAAAATTATTATTTATTTTCTATATATTAATTTTCTATTTATTAATTTTATATATTTTATAATATAATTTTCTTATATTTGTCACTTTGTATATATAATATATTATAGTATAGTAGTTTTGTATTATAAATTTTTAAAATAGGATTTAAACTAGATTTATGTTTTATTTTAATACAATCAATTTTAATCTTATATATTTTATATATTTATTTTAGAGATATAATTTTTTTTGTGCAGATAAGTAGCTGATTATTGAGACTATTTTCTGCAAAAAAAAAATTTCAATATGGATACCATAATGATATTCTATATAAAGTTTTATAAAGAAGAGGTAAAATTTAAATTTTTATATTGAAGAAACATGTATATAAGAATTTTTGTATTCTCATTTTATTGAATTAATTATCCTTATGTATATTATTCATAATTATTATATTAATTATTAAAAATTTTGTTTAAATTTTTTATAAAAACTTTCAAATTTTTTTATATATCAAATTTTTTTTACATATTGATTAAAAAAAAATTTAACTAGTATGTATAGAGATTAAATTCTTTTACATTCATTTTATTATATCCATTGAGTTCAATTTGGAAATCATTATAATTTGTTGAAATTTATTAATTTTTTGTAGCCTTCTTTGTTTCAGAAACCAATGTCATCAATTGGAATTGAGTATCAAATAAAAAAAGATTTGTATATTCTTTTCTTTCCCTTGATTATATTCAGATTTTTTTTTATAGTTAAATTTAAATCTTTAAATTGTTAGGTAAATACTATTTTTAAATTTTTAATAGATAATTATAAAAATTATATTTTTAAATTATATTTGGTTTATATATAGATAGAAATTATAAAGAATTATAAATTTAGATTAAATTACTTTTAATTAGAATTTGTTCTAATAATTTATAAGATTTTTAATAATAAAAAATACATATTTTTAAATAGATACTCATACAAAATTTTTAAAAATTACATTCATTTCATGCAAAATCT